CTCTAGCTGTGCTGTCTGAAACTACATACTGCACAGCGCTGATTAATACTGGATAAAACAACTGAAATAAACTTGCACGCATTGTCTAGAAACCAATTGTTTAAAACTAAGATACCCAAAAACCAGAGCAAGGTTTACTTTTTAAAATACAGTAAACACTTCGCTATCGACAGTAAAAAAAATTATTTTTCCAGAGGCTTTCACCATAAAAGCACTCGATCAATTTCAACGAATATATCCACCACTATTCTATTTAGTAACTTAAATCTATATTTATGATGAGCAGATTGCTAATTCCTACCAAAAAAACACAATATTCTTGCACAGAAGACAATCCGTAGCGCTATTTTTTAATGCACTTAATCAACTCCAATTTAAAAAGATAAAACGTATGTATTTCGAATGCTTTCCAGACTACAGCGAGATTTCCGATAAAATAGAAATTTGCTTCCAAAAACCGTTCATAAATTCGCCACCTTTTTCCCACTACCTGCCCAATATCTCTTTAACATTTTTTTCCCCCTACGCTAAACAACTAATTCAATATGCTAAAATAGATCGTTTATTTGCTGCCTCATCGCGTACACATTTTTCCATATTTACTGTTATTTGCTAATTTGCTGTTCCCAATATAGAACTTCAGTACTTTTAAAAAATTTTTTTAACGGTTCAAGCACAATTACTCACGCTCTTTAGCTAAAAATCACTCAATTTCACTCCCAGTCTTATCTCCGTTCTACAAATGTAGGATATGATGAAGAAAAAGCACCCAATCCCCCAATTCTTTTGTCCAAATGAACATTTTAAAACACGAAATTAAAGAAGTCTCTCCTCAAGAAAAAAGTTACCTAGAAATTGCCATACGTAAGGATCAAGCGGGTTTAAATCTAAAGCTTTTTGCACATGTTCTAGCACAAGATGTCGACTGGATCTTCGAAGTCTCATATCATATCGCATCAACTTAACCAAGGCCATAGCATACCTTAACACAAATAGTATAATTCCCAAATACATATAGATAATATAACCATAATAACATCTACTCATCAGTTAGTTGCAGCAAGTCTCCGCATAAAAACAACTCCTACAGTCAAAAAGCTTAAACTATCAAAACGATTTAAGAATAAAAAGCACTGCTATCAGTTAAGGAGGCTCACACCTTACTAATCGAATAACAGAAAATGATTACCACTTGTGGATACCTGCGAGTGGTTTGGCTTCATAATGAACAGCTCTACTGCCAACTTTGACGGCCTAAACTAAAAAAAACTAACCTTCTGAAAAGTCGCTCGTTGCTATCAAAACTGCAAGAGCGAAAAAAAA